TTGATTAGATAATGTCAATTTTCCCCACCCCAATCCATTACATAAAAGGAACCATAGAAAAAAAAATTTCTCTTAGTTGTTTCCTAACAATCTCCACCTGGCTCCATCATTGCCTTATGTATCCGACTTCTCACCCAACCTCAATTACTCGTTGAATTGCTAGCGTGAGAAACACTAAAAATCCGTTTGTTTTATATATTTAAATTTAAATTATTATTTTTATTATATTATATTTCTCTTACCAAAATTTTATCAAAATAAAAAATTTTAATTTTAATATACTTTCCAAACTAATTTTAATTAATTAAATCACTGAGGACTATGGCTATTTTCATCGTCATTTTTATTTTCTACACGTAAAATGTAAAAATAAAAAGCGTAACATAATATTTGTTACGTATAATAATTACTTTAAAAGAAGCATAACAATAAAAATTAATTACTCATCATACAGTATTATACTTTTTTCAAAATCACTGTTAATGAATGATAGAGTGTAGGACCAGACCAATACTTGGTAAATGAGAAAGACAAAAGCCAATTCAGCTTCAACGATTTAACAGAAGACTTTTCAAACTGTACTTCTTTATTAATGGCACATAAGCTAACTTGACCAAAAGATTCTTCTCGCAAAAAATTACTAATCAAATGAGGCAAGCAATTATAAACGCTTGCTCTACCAAATGCCACCATTTGTCCACTTCACAGTTCGGTATTTTTGTCTAACCGCCAAACTTATCCAACGCAACCGTGCACTCCAACGAATGCATTGAGCAAAGGGAAGTTTTAAATCACATCACACTCTACGAAAAAATAAAAATAACAATAAAAATTAATAGTGGCTATTGAACTAATTAAATTATTATTATTATTATATATGAGCTTACCTGTATTGACTAGTTCTTCTATCATGTAGACATATAACCTTCAGAAATCACAAGATGACGTTTGGTTGGAGAATTTAAATCATGTGATTCGAATTATTTTTAGTTTATGTGAATTTTTTATAAGAAAAAATACTGTAGTGAATCACGAATCATGATTCGAATCAGAAACGAATCCCTCTACCAAACATCCTACAAACCATCCCCTGATTTCAGGTCTACTTGATCGTGACTGAACACAACCATGTGGCACCACATGTATATATATATATATATTTCAAAATATGTTTATCATGTTTACCGTGGGACTAGCTAGTCGAATGATTAAGAAATCCATTATCACGTTGAAAACATATATTTGATAAAACACCGTCAAACGAAATTCTTTCAGATGCCAAAAATATTAAAATGCACTATCTGATCTTGTCAACACATAAACGCCTCTTACATTGCGTGACGACATGAAATTCAAATGGAAGATAGAATTTTCTCTAATTAAATTAATTAAGCGAATTTTTAACATATACCAATGTCCGTCGCCGCATCAGTTTTAATTATTGTAAATAAACGGATACGTCAAAAAATACGGTGAGTTAGGGTCAACAATGAAACGTTAAACAATATGGTGAGTTCGGCTCAACAAATCTTTGTATATATTCTGACATATATCTTCCTAGTCGAAGAGTCTCATTATAATTTTTTCCTTTTCCTATATGAACAGTTATCAAATTTCTGTTGGCCAAAACCAACAAAGAATACATGGTTCAAAACGGAAAATACTTGGATGACGGAGACCGTGAAAGTTAAATCTGATATTGAACGGCAAAACCATGCAAAAAGTGAGGTCGAATACCTTATGTTATAGTGCACATATATACGTTCTTTGTAAAAGTTGAGAATAAAACTATATACGACTGTTAAGTATATCATAATCACTTGTCTTTACACTCATAAAAGCATAGTAGAACGTTAAAATCTGAGTGAAGCAGCTGTACTAATACTGGTGTTTGATACCCCAATTCAGTTCAAAATTCAAAAGCTTCGAAAAAGAAATAGGAAAATCTTTCTACTACTATTTTTTTTTTTTTTTATGCCTGCAGAAAAACATGGTGTGCCGGTGCATGCGTAGCAATGTTTATTATGTCATTTACAGAGTCGCCATATGTTAATCAGATGCGAGCTCTGAAAACTACGCGCCCCCTTTTCATGCGCATGCCACGACCTCCTCAAAACACTTTCCTGTGCTGTACCCCAAAATTTTCTAGCCAACCAAACACAAACTTTCTCTCTCTCTGATAATCTCTCCCTCTCTCACAACGTGTCCTCCTCTTTCGGACACGAATCGCCCGTCCTTCACCTCCCTCACCAGCTCCCTCCGTGCCACCCAGCACTCTCGCCACCACGTGTCCGACATTAAGGCCTCACGACCTGCGAAGGCCGAAATCTCGGCGTGTCGGGTTCCGGGAAAAAGTAAATGGTGGGTGAGGGAGGGTGGTTTTTGCCCTCTGGGTTCGACCAAGAACCACAGGGACGAAGATGGCTTAACTTAACCTAACCAGACTTGGAAAAGCCAAGGGGACGGGGAAAAAAATGATAATTAATAAAAAAATAATAAACATCGTAATTCGTAACCATGGTTGAAAATAGGTGGGTCACGTGGCAGTGACTTTGCCTGCTGTCGACATCACGCTCCTGTTTCTAGTACAAATTGCTTGCCAGCCGGATTTTACACGTGGATGCCTAAATACGGCTTTTGAGCTATTCATCTGTGGCCCACACCCACCGTAACGTCCTTTCTGTGTTCTCCACGTTCTCCTATTTTTTTATGACACGTGTATCTGAATCCAATTGAGTTCATGCATCTTTTTCTCTGATAATTTGTTTTTTTTTAACTTTTATAAGAAATTTCCCTCGTAGGGCTAGTCTAACAGTAGTGTCAACTTTTAATTGTTTTTTTAATGATCAGGTTAAAATCGTAAAAGAGTAGGTAAAATAGAGAATTTTTAATATAAATTTAATCGGTTAAAAATATAAAATTACTAATAATTCATTTAAGATAGTCTTATCAGAGAATATTTTATTAGTATCTTAAATAAAATACATTTCATTCACCGGAAAAAAAAAATCAATTACGTATGTTTAAAATATTTAAATAACTTTTTCTACCCTTTTTTAGTAAAATTATTCTGTATAAAAAATGTGACATGATAATTAATGAATGTAACATTAACATGTAACATAATTTTTAAATGATTAAATTCTTTTGTGTCACTTTTATCTAAAGTTAATGTTACATTTAATGATTATCATAAAGTCAATGTCACTATTAAATTAAAAGGACCTCAAAAAAAAAAAAAAAAAACCGAAGACAAGTCCTATTTAAAAACATGAAAATAAAATAAAAACTAATCAAACAGTATTTTACAATATATTTTGTGATGCAAGACAGGATAAAAAATAGAATCAATAAGAGAAAAAAATCAGAATAATTAATAATAAATCATCAAAGTTTGAATTGGAAACGACAAGCATTATGGTATTTATAAAGATCGAAAAAAACAAAAGAAAAAAAAAACTTATTAAATTTGAAATAGTTTCCAGATAAACATCATCCAATCATAATAGAATTTATTATATTAAACATTAAAACACAATTTTAAAAGTATAATTTTAATTTTTAATGTTTTAACAACAATAAAAACAATTTTTTATTTGTAATGTAAATATTTTTTATAAAACTTTTAATTGTCAAGCAATTAAAACGCAACAGCGGAGCTTGTTCCCACTCAAATTTTTTTTTTTAAAATATTACCTTTAAAAATTTTAAAATTTTACAGTTAAATTTTTATTAACATAATATATACTCTCATTAAAATAAATATATTTTTTTATATGTTTTTATTAAAATAATTTATTAAAAAAATTAATGTATACCTCAACTAAAATAAAATGTTGACTCTATCATGTTATCTTTATGAAATTTTAGAAGTAATTCATCAATATTAGAATTAAGTCGGTTAAAAAAAATAAAGTTTAGAGTCTGTTTAGTTCGTTAATTCGAGTTTTTAATTCGAGTTAAGATGTGATACTTTATGATAACTTTTTATTGTAATAAAAAAATTAAATTTAACTATTTTTGAGAATTTTTTATTATAATAAAACTCGAATTCAGAGCTTAAAAAAGTAAACGCACGACTTGCTCAAGCAGCTCACAATCTTAAGAAATAGGGAGTATCGTATGATATTATACAATCATGTTTGTTGAGAAAAAAGCAAATTTGAATGCACAAGATCATTTTATTGGTCTATAGAATTTCTTCACACTCCATATTCTTTTGCGTGATATTCTATAATTCTAATTCGGTGGAATAAGTTTTTGTTTTTTATAATCAAATTTTAGTAGAATAGTGGTATAAGTTAACCTATGTAATATTACGTACATGCTCAAAAGTTAAAACGTGTTAAGGATGTGGGAGCTATACCGCTCCTTAGATATTCCGTTGGCGTCAACGACGTAGACACATGGGCCCACACGTCAATATCACAAAACTGGTACGTTGTAGCATCTCATTGGACCACAACGCCCAGAAGGAATAAAGTAGGAATTTTTTTTCCGCAATAATATCTGCTTTTGCCTCCAAATCGTGGCTCAATCTGCATACGAGGATGAAGACACGTGGCCGAACAGACTTTAGAAATTAAAAAAATATTTGATTCGTAAATTAAATTAGGTGATTAGAATTATTTTTAATTTATATATATTTTTTATAAAAAAATAATGTAATAAATTATAAATTATAATTTAAATTAAAAAATGAATCTCCTAATTAAATATTCTCTAATAATCTTTCATTTTCTTTTTTTTTTTCCTTTTCTTTCTTTTTTTCTCAAAAATAGCAAAATTTTAAACTCCAAGGAGGACCACATGCGTGTCTGGAAAGGAAGCTTACTCTCCCTTGGTGTTGAAATTCTATTGGGCCACGCACGTCCTTAACCCGAATCAGGAGATACACGTGGTTGTTTTGATCGAAATGGGGATGAGATCAACGGTGGTGATGCGTTCTTTTAGGCAGAAGGGCACTCGGTCACCCACTATAGTACCTGCTCGTCTGCCCGTGACGGGAACGGGTAGCTGCCCGTGGCGACCACGCTAAAGCGAGAGAAAGTGAGTGAGAAAGGGTAAGAGAGAGAGTGTGAGAGGACTGTTGCAGCAGGTTCCTGCGTAAAAAGGCCTCCTTGAAAGTTCTTTAAAGTACTTCCCCCATGGCGCGCGAGCATTCTCTTTCATCATCCCTTCCGTTTGAAGAAGAAGAAGAAAATTTTCAGACGCAGAAGATTCGCGATCGGTTTTGATTGTCCATTCCACAGATTTAACGGAGTGTTCAAAAGCTGATTTAGTAGGTGAGGAACCAGAGGTGATTACGAGGTTTAATTCTTGAGTTTCTAGGGAATTTTCTCATTGTTGTGGAAAAGGAGAGTTTTTAATAATGGCGGAGATTTGCTGTGGAATAGTGAGCGACGGCGAGGCGTCGACGCCTGGCGAGTCGAGCTCGCGAACGGCCAGGCGCCGGCGGATGGAGATTAGGAGGTTCAAGTTCGTCACCGGCGTGGTGCCTCCAGCGGACGCGGAGAGAGGCCAGAAGCGCCCGAAAGGAAAGCCTCGGGGATGCGAGAACGCGGTGGAGGATTGCGGTTCGGAGGAGAAACATACGGTGAAAGCTGAGTTTGGAAGATCCGCGACCGGACTGATCTCAGTCTCTTCGGTTACGGTCTCATTGTTGTGTTCACCATCCGCGCCGGTGGATCCAGATGATTTCAGCGAGCTTCCAAAGTTCGGCTTCGCGTCCGTATGCGGCAGGCGGAGAGACATGGAAGACTCGTTGGCTATTGTCCCCTCATTTCACCGCCGTTATAAGGAGACCGCCTCTGAGTTGCATTACTTCGGCGTTTTTGACGGTCACGGTTGCTCTCATGTGCGATTCTTCCCTTTACCATTTCTGAATTAAAAGAGAACTTCCGGTTACATCAGATTTTGAAACGATCGGTTTCTGAAATTCTTAATTTCAGGTGGCGACGAAGTGCGGAGAGCGTCTGCATGAACTGGTGAAAGAAGAGCTTCAAAGCGAAGAGGTGTCAACGGAGTGGAAGAGCGCGATGGAGAGAAGCTTCTCCCGTATGGACGACGAGGTGATCGCGTGGAACAACGGCGGTTTGGGAGCGAACTGCAGGTGCGAGCTCCAAACGCCGGAGTGTGACGCCGTCGGATCAACGGCGGTCGTCGCAATCGTGACGCCGGATAAGATCGTCGTCGCCAACTGCGGCGATTCCAGAGCCGTGCTTTGTCGCAATGGCAAGCCTGTCCCTCTCTCTTCCGACCACAAGGTTAGTTCTTTTCTCTCCTCCCTTCCGCCATTGGAACTTGCCAACTCGGTCAGTTACATCCCCTCTAAAAGGAATGAAAAGAAAACAACTAGAAATTCTAGGATGAGCTGGAACTTTCTGAACAAATTGCTAGTTAGTTGACCGAAATCCTGATCAAAATACCGGCTTTTGGATTTTCTTTTATTTTCTCGGTAAACAAACGGAATAAAATGGGACATTGCAAAGTAAGTGCGAGTCCAGTGTGTTACTATGGACTTTTCACCAAGAGCCGTTGGATCTGTTCAGTGATCTACTTGTAGCAATTTACCATGCTTGTCGTTACCATTTAAGAGACGATTCCCATCTGATGAGATTGTGTTCGTGTGACAGCCGGATCGACCCGACGAACTCAATCGGATCCAGGCGACGGGCGGGCGGGTCATCTACTGGGATGGCCCACGGGTTCTCGGAGTCCTTGCCATGTCAAGAGCCATAGGTAAAACAAATAAACACCATCACTACACTTTTGCCTTCGGCTCACTGTAGCACCAGTCATATTATCTTACGCCGCACTCTGAAAAACCGTCATTGTAATGGTGTATAAACAGGCGACAACTATCTGAAACCCTACGTGAGCTGCGAGCCGGAGGTGACGATCACGGATCGGACGGCGGACGACGACTGTCTGATCCTGGCGAGCGACGGACTCTGGGACGTCGTTTCGAACGAGACGGCGTGTGGCGTGGCGCGGATGTGTCTTCGCGGGAAGGCGAAGATTCCGTCGGGGTCACCCCAGTTGCCGGAAAGCGAAGCACCCGGCGGTGAGATCTCCGATAAGGCGTGCTCCGACGCTTCGATGCTGCTGACCAAGCTGGCCCTGGCCAGGCACAGCACTGACAACGTGAGCGTGATTGTGGTTGATCTTAGAAGGGACACGTAACCCAAACTAATATTGATGTCCTTTGTCATCTTATGGATTTCTTTTTTCCTCTTTTATTTTCATTGCGGTCTTTTTTTTTTTTTCTTTTTTTTGGGCTGATTTCCCATTGGGGGGGTCGGATTCAGCCTTTTTTTTTTTTTTTTTCCTTTTGGGGACAGACGATATACTGACGGAGCCCAGCTCGATTCGCTGGTTTTTGGTTTCGAATGAAATCCTTTCGCCCTGTCAAGTATAATGTAGTTATTGTAGTATATGAACCAAGTAAATATAATGCTATTTGTATTTACTTCTATCCTTTGCATCTTTTTTTTCTCGGTTATGACTTTACAATGAAAAGGAAACAGAATTTGTCCTTTGATATTCCATGGTCCAATGCCTTTTCTTTGTTTTTTTTTTTTTTTCCTGAAATCAATGCTGTTTTTAAGATGCAACTGCTTTTTGTATTTGTTAACCGCAAAGGTTTTAAGTTGTAATTTCCGTGTAGTGTCGGGTTTGTTTAGTAGGTTGATTTTAGTTTTTAATTTGAATAGGACGAAAGGGAGTCTTCTTATTACATTATTTTTTAAAATTTTTTATTATAATAAAATTTAAATTTTAAATTCGAATAAAAAAAATGAATTAATATATTTAACGCATTTTAATTTTGATGTGATATAGAGAGAATAAGGAAGAAATTGCTTGTGGACGAGTTTCAACTCCGTTAGTGAGAAGATTAACCCGTTGACCGTGTAAAGGAAGATGTTTTTTTTCCTCTAATAATAAATCATCCAATATTGTTTTGATTATAGAAACCAAAAAAATCTTCTATAAACCTAAAAAAAAAGAAAACATATGATAATCTCTCTCTTCTTTCAAATCCCTCCTCTAATAGCACGACACATTGCATGACGTTAATCACGTTATAATTAAAATGAGAAGTTTAGCGTTGTTCATGTTGAATTACTTATGGTCACGTAACGATAGGCAAATGCTTTTATCGTGTTAATGACGGTATTTTAGTCGTGCAAAAAGGTAATCTAACCTGGCGAGTTTTGATTCGACAGCCAAATTAATGGAGGAATAAGCTTACATCAACTCATTCAAAACATTAGGCAGAAAGAACTTTATGTGTGTGCAAATGACAGGCAAACCTCATCAATCATTTTTGGGGTCCCAGAGGAACTGCCAATCAAACGATAATTTTAAAGTTCCGTTTAGTTCGTTGATTCGAGTTTTTAATTTGAGTTGAGATGTGATTTTATGTGAGAATTTTTTACTGTAGTAAAAAAGTTATATATGACTGTTTGTGAGAATTTTTTATTGTAGTAAAACTCAAATTCTAAACTCGAATCAACGAAATAAACGGGGTCTAAATTTGTCACGAAACTCATTAAATACTGCCCTTATCCAATACAATATCACCGCTCAGATCTAATATTCCAAAGTACTTTTTTGTAATTTAATTTAAGTGTATTCTGTGGTGGTACATGAAAGAAAAAATTATCAATAGAACACAAATTTGAACTATCAGATCACATTATATTAGTCTAGCGGTTTAAGTTAACCAAAGCCTATTCATAAGACTTTTTTCTTTTTTTTTTTTTAACGCTATCACAGAAATTCCAAAATGATATTGGTACTAATGTTATATGAACCAAATGAGCCAAGTATTAATCCCATTCCATGTATTGTTTTTTTTTAATATAAAAAAAAAAATCTGCACGTACTAGAAAGGACAGAAGGTAGGTTTATTTCCGTTCACTTCGCTGATTCGAGTTTAGAATTCGAGTTAAGATGTGACTTTATGTGAGAGTTTTTTACTGTAGCAAAAAAGTTAAATGTGATTGTTTGTGAGAGTTTTTTCTTGTAGAAAAACTCGAATTCTAAACTCGAATCAGGAAGTGAACGGAGTGTGAATTTTGACATAATTCTTCTCGTACACCTACTCGTTGAATACAATTTGAGTTCCCACTGATGTAAATATTCATCTAATTGCAACTCTATAAAAGAAGCCAACCTAGCCAGATAGTAATGAAAACCTTTGTATATCTGTTTTCCACTGTTAATCTCCTTAAGACATTGATTTTTTTTTTTTTTAATGAAATCTCCATAAGACACTGATAAGTTATAAATTCAGCATATATCTGTTCCAAGTAATGCTGTGGTGGGACATTCATGGTCCAGTTCTAACTAGGATTTCAAAGAAGCACATTATTAATATATAATCGCATGTTAGTTTGATGTGATTTGTTAATGAACCCATTAAATTCTTCTTTTGAAATGAGATAAGTGCCACCAAACGAATAATTATTAAGGAGTCACAGGCATTAACTTAATCAAACAGGAATCTTTAATTACATGATATTAAGATTTATCAATCTTTAAGCGCGGGTTAGTATAATAAGTCTATTTGTTAATCATGTTTCTAAAGTATTGATTTGAGGCTTGAGTGCACTACAAAAATATATTTACATATTTCAGTAACGTAATTGATTTTCATTTCTTCTTTTATTTGAGAATTAAGGGCTTGTTCATTTGTATTTTTTGAGTTAGAGTGATTTGAGTTCAAATTTTGATTTGAATTAAGGTGTATTTGAGTATGGTGTGAGTTGAGACTCTAATTTGAGTTTGTGTTTGGATGGGCACAATTTGAGTTATGGTTTGAATTGATAATCTATTTGAGTTTATGTTTGGATGAGTCAAAACTTGAATTTGTATTTGGATAGTATTTTAATAAAAACTCAATGGTAATGAAAAATTTTAATAGGGTATATGGGTGGAGTTTTATTCGTCTATTTGTTATGAACGCATAGAAAAAAAATTATCTCAATCAGAATTAAAACGAAAAAGTTATGACATTTTTAAGAATAGAAAAAATATTGTTCATTAACTTGAATTTGAGTTTAGGAACTTAAGTTGAAATGAGAACTTGAACTCAGATTTTAACATCAAACTCAAGTTCAAACTCAAATGAATAACCCCTTTAAGGCTTGTTCTTTTGGAGTAAAACTAAAAAAAAAAAAAAAAAAAAAAAAATTTAAAAAAAAAACTAAAGTTACAACTTTAAAGTTCATGTTCGTTTGTAAAATTTGAGTTTTAACTTGAGTTTGGGACTAAAATCTGAGTCCAAATTTTCCCTTCAACTCAAGTTCGTAAATTCAAATTCAAGTTGAATAGTATTTTTTCTATTCTTAAAAATGTTATAACTTTTTAGTTTTAATTCCGATTGAGATGATTTTTTTTCCATGCGTTCACAATGAAAAGACGAATAAAATCACACATATACCCTATTATAATATTTTCATCACCATTGAGTTTTTATTAAAATACTATCTAAATACAAATTCAAGTTTTAACTCACTCAAATAGATTCTCAATTCAAATCATAACTTAAATGTGCACATCCAAATACAAACTCAAGTTACAACTTCAACTCAAATTATAACTCAAATTCAACTTAAGATCAACACTCAAGTCATTATAACTCAAAACTGTAACCGAACAAGCCCCGGATCTCTTTCATGATTGTATCCTAAAAAGTAATGACATTACGATGTTTCTTAAGTTTTATTATATGGTCTGAATTATGATATTAATGAAACGACGCGCATGATCTTCCTAGCCTTGAATTTTTTTTTTTTTTACAGCATGAAAAATAAAAACGACAATCAATAATATTTGTTTCAATCCGTTTAGGCTGCAATATCTCCAAACTTAAAATATCTTTCATTCAAAAAAAATTTTAAAAAAAAGAAGAAAATATCTTTAATTTTTCCTGAAACACATTTTTTTTCTTCTCGTTCATCTTTTAAGGCCCGTTTGAAAAGTGAGTTTTGATTTGAATCAAAATTCAAATTTTATAAAAAAATATTACTGTTTAAATATAAATTATAGTAGTTTAAATGCATCCTCCAAACAGACTTTAACTTCGGTCCGAATGTCCTTCATGTTTCTCCTTTTCTCGTATAGTACTTATTTCTTGGGTCTTACAATTTGGAAAAGAGCACCATGGCCCATGATCGAGTCGCATCTTAGAAACGATTGCTATTGTTGCTCTAGGAATATCAATATCAATCATACTCTTTAAATTTATGTTTGTATTGCCACTTTTTCTTTCTATGAATCGAAATTGACTTTAGAAGTTACTTGAGAACTCGACAATTTACACCACATAGTACCTATGTTAATAGTACATGTATTTATATATTTTCTTTTACTTTTTTCATATAAAATTATTTTTGATTTGTATCATATTAAAAGAGTATACAACTTTAAAATAATTCGATAGAAATCTAAATATTTATATCTTTATCTTTTGTCGGTAGTGCATTTCTATAAATACTGAATTAAATTAAAATCACATTAAAATAAAAAAATTTATAAAACTCGAAAAATTTGATACAAACCTAAGGTTGAAAATAAAAACTTTACTAGTAAATTTTTGTTTTATTCTTTTTTTTTTCCAACGTGTGTAGAATTCATTTTTTCTTGTTTCTTACCCGCACCGAATTTATCTTTCACGAAAAAGGTTAAGGCCCTGTTCTTTTTGTTGATTCGAGTTTTGCTACAGTAAAAAGCTCTTAAAAACAGTCACATCTAATTTTTTTATTACAGTAAAAAACTCTCACATAACATCACATCTCAACTCGAATTAGCGAACCGAAAAGACTCTAAAAATCTTTTAGAAATAGAAGAGAGAAAAAAAAAAGCCTTTGAGCCCATCGCTATCAAATCGGAGAGGATTTCCGGTGAGTTGGTTGACATTGACAGATTGACAGCCCCATTCTTGCACGTCTAATCAGCCACATGGGGTTTTGCTTGCTGCAGACTATCCAACTTTTATGATTAAGGCGAGAGAGTTTGGTTCATGAATTAGAACTATGTGATTAGAATTATTTTTGATTTATGTGTATTTTTTATAAGAGAAAATATTGTAATGAATCATGAATCATAATTTGAATAGAGAACGAATTTAAGTACCAAACATCCTCTTACTGTCTTCATTTGATTTTTTTTTAAAATTTTTTTAGAAAAAATGTACGGTAGAGCATGTTGTTTTATCCATCTATTAATGCAAGCTTTATTTTAACAAGCTTTATTAGTTGGGGAAATTTTATAAGGTCAGTTTAATTCGTTGAATTGAATTTTTAATTTAAATTGAGATGTAATTTTATGTTAGAGTTTTTTATTGTAATAAAAAAGTTAAATGTGACTGTTTTTAATAATTTTTTACTGTAATAAAATTCAAATTTTAAATTTAAATCAATAAAATAAATGGGATCATAAAATCTTTACTGTGAAGCATGCATTTTGACTCTGCTGGTGGTGCACATTTATAAAAACCGATTATTCGATAAAAAAAATTACGACTATTTAAAAAAAAAAGTATATCAATTTATAAAATGTTGCTTAATAGGGCATAGTTTTAAGTCGTAGATCACATCAAGATTATTGGATGAAAATATTATGATTACTTGACAAATTTTGATAAAATCCTAACTACTTATAATTGTGATACTTTTTTAGGTACGAAATTTCATCAATTTATTATACTTGTTTTAATTCGATGTACTCAGATGGTTTAAAAATATGAACGACTCTATCACAAAATTCAGTAATTTGTTAACGAAACTTGATAAAATTTGACGAAGTGTGTCACTTCCATCCTTCAAAAAATTAACAAATATTGAGCCATTTGATGAATGAAAAATATTATCAAACACTTTTCATAATACTAACATATTACACTCCTTGCCTACCAAACTACTTGGGTGTAGAACATGACGTCATTAGGCTACCATGACTTATTAATTGCATGCTTTTACAGCCCTCGAAAGAAATGGATAACTTTTACTCCTTAAAATTGAGTCTTTTTTTATTTTTATCTCTTAATATTAGTTAATATATTTATACTTTTTAAACTATAATTAATTAAGAGATAAAAGTTTTTTAAAGTGGACACTTTTAATAAGTCAATACTTAAAGAGGTAGAATCTATAATGTTCTCAAAGAAAAAAGTGCACGTAGGTTTCCTTACAACGTTTTTTCAACAAAACAAAAGGGTAAAATCATGTTAATACTCCTTTTTATAATAAAATATCTCACTAATACTCTACATTTTTTCTGCGTTTTTAATAATATTAAAATCATATCTTCACTTTTAAAAAAATATTTTTCCGGTGTCTTGAGATTGAGTTTTAGGACATACAATATCCAAATTTATTAATTAAGTAGAAATTACTAATAACTTTAAACATATTTTCTAAAAACATTTTAACTTATTTTAATTTTAAAAAAAATATTAATTTATTATTAATTAGTGAGAATGATACAATGAATATTTTATGTTTCAAACATAATCTCAAAATACTAAAAGAATATTTTTTTAAAATAAAAATACCGTTTTAATATTATTAAAAATATAGAAACCACATAAATTATCAAAATAATTTCGTGTTTCCTTTATTAATCAAATGACATTCATACTTTTTCCTTTGCTGGGATTTCGTAAACTTTTTACCTGTAAAATTTCCACACAGCACCCTCTAGCTGTTCCTTTTTCATTAGTATAACTATGGGTTCAATTTTTAATTATGACTTTCAAAATTCAAATTCTAAATATACACAAAATGCCAGCAATATTCTTGATTCCGAAGAGGAAAATGGAGAAAGCATAATCATGGCTTTCATTTAATAATATGAATGTAAACTTTGGCCTCGTTTTTTAATTCAAATTGAGATGTAATTTATGTAAAAAAATTTATCTGTAATAAAAAAATTAGATGTAATTTTTTATTATAACTTTTAACTATAGTAAAATTAAAATTGAAAACTCAAATAGGTGAAAAACTCTCAGAAATAATCACATTTAATTTTTTTCCTAATAGTAAAAAACTCTCACATAAGATTATATATAAATTCGAATAAAAAACTTGAGCAGCGAACTAAACATGCCCGAAATGAACGGGGTTTTAATCTTTCTCATTTTCCTACCTTAAAAAAAAGAAAGCGCTCTTATTTCACCTTCGAACTGCCACGACAACGCAACAGAGAAGTACAGTAACCATGCGATGCGACAAGGTTCATTCGTATTGTCAGCTAGATATTGAACAATATAATATGTTTCTCTGAAGAAACTGTCACAATCTAAGGGCCCGTTTAGTTCGCTGATTCGAGATTTTAATTTGAGTTTAGATGTGATTTTATGTAAGAGCTTTTTACTGTAGCAAAAAAGTTAGATGTGATTGTTTCTGAGAGCTTTTTACTGTAGCAAAACTCGAATTCTAAACTCGAATCGGTGAAATGAACGGGGCTTAAATATTCTGATAGCATATTATGCATTGCAACTTCAGGGGACGTATTATCATGTCCCGCCAATAATTATTTTCTATCATGAACTATCTAACAAGAAATAAATGATGGGGGTTGTTTGGTTGAGGGATTCGTCCCCCTATTCGAATCATAGTTCATGATTCGTTACAGTGTTTTCTCTCACAAAAAATACACGTAAATTGAAAATAATTCTAATATTATGATTCTAATTCATAAACCGTCTCCGAAAGACAGATTTATGCTTCTTACTTTCTACTTCGTAACCCATCGTATTATCAAACATTCTTGTAACTTTGTAACGATATAACATAAAATATTGCTCTCTGCTTTTATTGCATCTGAAACCAGAAGAGATGTTATTTTCTTTCTTACTTTGCTATCTACTATATAATAACTTATTATTAGTCTACAACGCAATAAAATTGATGTAGGATTAACGCAAAAAATTCCTCTCAAAAGTAACAATTATGAGAGACACGAAATCGAATACTTTAAACACCACTACATATTCCATCACAAACTCTATTTGTTTAGGCCCGGGATTAAGAACATATGAACGCATCCAATATTCAAACCCAAGCACCTCTTCGAAATCCACCGCAAACACTATTTATTTAAGCCCGTTCTTATCGCAGATTTGAGTTTTACTACAGTAAAAAACTCTCAGAAACAGTCACATCTAATTTTTTTACTACAATAAAAAGTTATCACACAACATCACATCTCAACTCGAATTAAAAATTTAAATTAACGAACCGAACGGGCCCGCTCTTACTTCAAATAGTCTCTTAAGAACATATGAGCGCATCCAAAATCCAATATTTGAACCCAAGCACCTCTTTGAAACCCAAGTCAAGTAAAGCTGCCTCTCAAGTTCATCTACGCTCCCACGTCAGTCTATTAAGTACTCCCAAAAGAAAGTGAGATTTTGCTCATGTGAAAATGGGCGAGGACTAAGCAAGTGAAAGTGAAACATTGAGGCTTTTGACAAATGGATTCAGTCATGGTACAAGATACCAATTACCTAAATATTCTAACATACTTTGTAAATGAAATTCCATAATCCCATATATGAGTTATTTAGCTATTCCCGATTAAGAATAGAAAATAATTCAAAATTTTTGGCAAAGTGTTGGAGAGAGGCTAAAAGCAATCTCTAGTAGAATGAATTCGTGCTCAAGAAAGTGGTTGGAAAAGTGAAAAGGGTAACAAAGGAATTAAAAAAGAATAAAAGTGTAAAGAATAGAAGTGTAGATACTTCATTCACTTTAAGGAATAGCAGAGAAAAAGTGTCCCATAGAACGCCTTCCAGCTAATTCCACACAACTGACACGCTCTAAAGGAAACATCAATTAAACACAAAAAAGTTGGTTGCACACAAGACTCTTCCAAAATCAAGGAAACTCATTTTGAAGTGCAGCCAATTTCTTGGGGGGGGGGGGAAGTTTTCTCTTGCTACTTCTCTTTGCTGCTTTCTTCCACTCCAGGCTTTTTCAGCTCGTTCAACTTTCTGTAACCTTTGTCAGTTCCAAATATCCTGGGAATCCATCAAGAAAGACGGGAGTGTCAGATTATGCTTGAATTGTAGTATGTGTTTCTATCTATATCGTCATTCCTCTTTCAAGCTGTTTGTTCATAGTGGATAGTCATTCCTTTTTCATGCTGTTTGTTCATATCGGAAGTTTGTCAAAATAGTAAAAGTTACCTACGCAAAGAGTAAAACCATCTGGAAACAGAGTGAAGTTAACATGGTTAAGTAATGATGCACAGAAGTATGAAATGCCTTAGTTAAGATCATCGGAAACTAGCGTGAAGGGACTTGGTATATTCCCCATACACAAGCCCAAGAGATTACCTAAAAAAGGCGGACCCTAGTGCCAAAGAGGCTCCCGTACTATGACAGGCTCGGGAGAAAGCTCAATCCCATATGTACGCGGCCTTACCCTCCCCCATGACAGGCTCGGGAGAAAGCTCAATCATGTACATTTATTACATCATTCATGTAATTTTTTCTTTTCTGACCGACGTCAATTTAGACAAATAAACGACAGGTGGCTGTATTTGGAAAGCTGTGCACTAAGTTATTCCTACAGTTACAAATAGTAAGTGTTACTTACCAGTCCATGTAAGTAAAGGTCGAGGAGTAGTTGCCTGACTTCGTATAAAGCAAACGGTGATGGTAGTCGTGGAAATCAGCACTGCAGAACAATGAAGCAAAAGATATCAGCAACAAGTAAATGACGAATGTATACCGCCCCCACACACAAATCTAATTGAGCCAAGAAGTGGCAACCACGCACACTCACCCGCCATACAAAGGAATGAAGTTTGAGAGGCTCCATGGGAAATGGTAGCCACAATGTGCCTCAACTGTCTCAAGCACTCGAAGTACCATCCACAACCAGAGTGTTATTAGATGGGGACCGGTGATGGCAGGACCGATGATAGTCGCAAAACCAAGGAACAGTATCTCAGCAGGGTGAGCATATTCAGAAGTCAGTCCAAAAGGTGTAGCATATCTGCACATGTTTATTGCCCAATAATCCAGAGTCTATATCATTTGTAAAACCATTCAAAGAAATTATGTACAAAGTCGAAAAATAAAATATAAAGGCACCAATAACTGCACTTATAACTCTCACTTACTCATGATGAACACTGTGCACATGTTTGTACAACCATTTTGTATGGAGAACCCTATGTCCCCAATAGAATACAAAATCCTCTAGGATGAAGTAGAAAACTATTTGTGAAAAAATTACTTTCCTGCAAAACCAAAAACATAATTGTTCAAACTATCCTATGGAAGAGATGCACGTTGTAGGATTTAATAGAAAACTGGATGGGCGCAATATATCTAGAATAATGAGTATCCAATACTAGAATATCTGAAAAAGGATGCTTTAGCATATAAAGAACCTGAAAATACCAGGACGGCAGAGGAAGACTACTTCTCATGCCCATGAATTTGAAGACAGGATATGAGAATATCATAACTGGTAGATTGACGCCAAAATGATACAACAGTAGGCGAGTTATACATTTCTCCTGAGCTGCAGGGCTATTATTTTTCGTCTGTATAAAACCAGAAAGAAGAAAGTTATACGCTAAACTAAAGGAAATTTTAGTTTATTGAGATCCAAGCGATCACATATATCTTAGTTATGAAACACATATTTGATATCAGATACCTCATGTGTGTGCGTACAGACACATATATTAAATATCAAAGCACTGTTGAAGACATAGATGCATCATCTGAACAATACCATGAGAGAAGTAACCAGATTCAATCGCAACACCAGTTTCCAAGTAAGATATCATAATGTGAAAAAAAAAAAAAAAAAAAAAAAGATGTTTTGAAGATTCTAAAAACTGACAAAAAAATAATAATCGTTGCATATCTCAAAGATCTTCTGCAAAGAGAGTCGGTGGCAGCAGCATTATGTAATTATTAAAAGCAATCTGCAATGGATTAGCTATATCTACATAACGGGTTGAATGCCAACAGAATATACACACATTTCCTCGCGTGCACATATTCACATATAACTATGCATATGAAGTCTCTTGAGTGGGGCTTCAAAAGTAATAGCCAAATCAAAGGAGTAACCTGAATCTTGTACTTGCTCAGCAATCCCGCTCTCTCAAGATATATAAAGGGAAGTCCAGATAAGAAGAAAACACTCTCATGAAGAAAGAAGCTTCCTAGACATGCCAGTTGAAAATCACTGAAATGTGTGATGAGATACTGCATAAAAAGAAGGAATACGGAGAGAGAAAATAAATTTCAGAATGAAGAATACCAATAACTCTAAAGAACATAAAAAAGCACAGAAAAAAAAAAAAAAAAAAAAAAAAAAACATTGCACAAAATAAAAACAACAAAATAAAAAAAAAAAAAAAAAAAAAAAAAATCATTGCACATAATCAAAACAACACAATTATTGAATCATGTGTACTTCTCAATCCATCTATTAACAGAAAGCCTTTTTGAACTAATAAAAGTATAAATCAGGAGAACAGTAGTGGCCCTTGAGCTCAACAGCGTAGTGATGGATGCAAAGTACAGGGTTGTATGTGCCAGGACGTCGGACCAAAATCCGATTTTGACCCAACATAGCAAAGCACTTCACATATTCAAAATTGTTGTTACCACTGCCAACAGCATGGAGAACAGTTTAAATTTTTCTAGCTTCTTTCATTGCTAATAAAATTAACCCCAGTTCTAACCTTTTTCTTCATAATAAAAATAATAATGGTTTCGAAAATTCATTCAATCCATAGACGGTTCAAACACCCAGAATCTTAACTCCATCTAATGGAATAAACTAATCAAATTGCGATCTAAATCATCCATGAAACACAAGCAAGTGCACTGGGTGTGGTACTGTACTAGAGTTTGAATTCATTCTAGCCTTCCTTCCCTTTCCATGGCAATCCTTACTTCACTCAAGCATAAATTTGTTATTATTATTATTATTATTATTTTTCATATTTCTTAGTCACAGAGATCTGGAATACAAAAGAGACTTCACAGCTAAACTACGTCAATAAATTCAAATGGGGCCCATTTAGTACTAAAACCACAATCCTCCACTAGGAATCAAATGGGTGATTCCTATTGGGTATTCAAAACCATGGGAACAGTAATCATTGCACATTTTCCATCCGAGCATAACATCAAGAAAGTGAAAAAGACTAATGAACACGCCCCAGAATCAATTCCCAATCCAAATACGCACTTTAAAAAAAAAAAAAAAAAAAAAAACCCTGAATCACCTGACTAAAAATCTATAAATTACTACTTTAGACTAATTCACTTGAGAAATACACACATTTTCTCAAATCCAGCTTAATGTGAAAGAAAACTTGAATACCAAATGCGTGGCCTAATGTTTCTGTCAGTCAACGACATCATCCAAAGAACAAATGACGGAAACCCAAATCAGGCCATGACCTGAAAGCGATAATCAGAATAACTATACACGCTAAAAACTTAAAAGAAAATAAAAATCCTACTGAGAGATAAAGAATCCAAACAGAACACATCATAATTCACATCATCCACATTACTACTGCGAACATGCAGACAAAGGCACGAACACAAACGAGTTCGAAATCAAAACCAATGCTCATTAACCAGATCACGAGCATAAAAAGAAATAAAGAAATAAGAAAGATAAGGCCAAAGCTTTGAGCAGCTTGTAAGAGCAGAGAAAAGAGTAAAAGAGCGGAAATACCCGCCACCCAGATTCGACGACGGAAGCCATGAAAGTTGACCAGTGGGAGAGAGAAAAACAGAGTAATGCGGTACTTTCTAGAAAGAAAAAAAATAGAGAGAGAAGGAGGAGAGAGAGAGAGAGAGAGAGAGAGAGAGAGCTGAGCGAGTGAAGCATATGAAAATGAAAATGAATGAATCAAGAGCGAATAGGGCCACCACCTTACGAGGCGAAAGAAAGACAGACTGTCGAAGGGAATCTGGGCTTTCTTTTAATTTTGGGCTTTTGATTTCTTTGATTTATTTTTCAGAAATAGTAGAAAATAAACAAATATGAAAAGTTTAAGAAAATATATAAGTTAATTTTTAGTTATAAAAATTAATAGGTCATAATTTGTCAAGTTAAGATTTATAATTAAATAAGTTATGGATAAACTTGTCAAGTTATGGTTCATAGCCAGACAAGTTATGGACAAAAACCGTGAATTATGGACAATAACTTGTCAAGTTATAGTTCATAACCAGACAAGTTATGGACAAAAACAGTAATTTAGCCTATTTATTAACTTATGTAAACTATTTGCTTATTAATTTTAATTCATCTCAAGTCTTGACCTATTTCCATCTTTCTCTTTTTATTTTTCACTCTTCTTATAATTGTTTCTTTGGTATGAATAGTAAGTCAAAATTACTATACAAATTAATTAAAATTACTATTCATGTCAGAGTCTTAAATAGTAACTATAAATAATTATTATTATGTAAATAGTAATCATAAATAATGTCAAAAATTTTTCTATAAATAAAATTATAAGACACTTTATTTTGTATATCTTTACAAGATTAATGAAACCCCTCATCTAGTTTCTCTCTCTAAATTTTTCTTTTTAGGTTTACATTTTTTTTAATTTTCATAACACGCTATCAGCACAAACGTTCTATTCCTATTGTGGTTGTTTACATTATTAATTTAAAAAAAAAAAAAAAAAAAAGGTTCTGATCCAATTATAAACATCTACCTTAAAGTCAAAAAAAAGTAAATCCTAACCCTAGTTCTACTACAAGTTTCTACCCTTATTAATTCAAGTGAAAAGTGTATAAATATACTCTATTATTTTATGCTAGTGAATTCACATCTTAAGCATTTAATGATTATTATATGTTCATTGGAATTATTGCCCAACACCGGTTGCTCACATGTATACACAAAATAGTTTGGTTGAATCATTAATTAAACACCCCCAGCTTATTGTTGGACCATTAATAATGAGAATAAAGCTACCTATCTCTATATAGGGTTATGTAATTTTACATGTTGCGGAATTAATTCGCATCAAACCAAGTGCTTATAATAAGTACTCCCCTTTACAACTGGCATTTGGTTAAGAACCAAATATCTTTCATCTAAGAATTTTTAGTTGTGCGGTATATATACCAATTGCTCCACCACAACGCACAAAGATGAGTCCTCAAAGAAGATTGGAAATATATGTTAGGTATGAATCCCCTTCTATCATCAGATATCTTGAGCCTCAAACTGATGATGTTTTTAAGGCATATTTTTCCGATTGTCATTATAATGAGGTAGTCTTCCTAGCATTAAGGGGAGAAAATAAATAGTTACAAAAGGAAATTACATGGCGTGAATCGTCATTGTTGTATCTTGATCCTTACACAAAATAATGCGAACTAGAAGTGCAAAAGATTATGCACTTGCAAAACTTAGCAAATCAATTACCAGATGCGTTTACCGATACAAAAAGAGTGAATAAATCATATGTACCAGCTACAAATGCTCCCGCTCGAATTCAAATCCCAAAAGGACAATATGAGAATGAAGTAATTAATATGTCTAAAATACGCCTAAAGCGTGGTAGACCTATCGGTTCTAAAGACAAAAATTCTCGAAAAAGAAATGAAGCAAATGAGCATAATGACCCTGATTTGGAGGAAAGTGTTCTAGGAGAAACACAAAATAATACAAATAAAGAGATTCTCGATATCATAGAAAATTTTGAAGGTTTAAAGAATAGTGAGATCTCTATTGACTATATCAATACATGAGGATTATGGAATCAAAATGACATAGAAAATATTGATGAAATACTTTCTTACTATGTGGCATGTGAAATTATTAACGCAACTGAGGATCCTAAACCAAGATCCATTTTTTAGTGCTAAAATAGACACGATTGGATCAAATGGAAAGATGCTATACAGGTTGAGTTAAATTTGCTTAATAACCGTAAAGTTTTTGAACCTATTGTCTTAACGCCTGAAGCTGTGAGACCTGTGAGATACAAATGGGTTTTTGTGCGAAAATGCAATGAGAAAAATGAAATTGTAAGGTATAAAGCTCGACGTGTTGCACAAGGTTTTTCACAAAGACCCGAGATTGATTACGAGAAAACATATTCTCCTGTAATGGATGCAATTATATTTAGATATTTAATCAGCCTAACAATTTTTAAAAATTTAGAGATGCGTATTATGGATGTTGTTATAGTTTATATGTACGGATCGCTTGATAGTGATATTTATATGAAAATTCCTTATGGATTTAATATGCTTGAACCACTAAATTCAAAACCTAAAGATATATATATTTAATTAAGTTACAAAGATCATTATATGGCTTGAAGCAATCCGGACACATGTGGTATAATCGCTTAAGCAAATATTTGTCAAAAGAATGATATGTGAATAATCTTATATGCCCATGTGTTTTTATTAATAGAACAACATCTGGTTTTGTTATAATCGCTGTCTATGTTGATAATTTGAACATCATTGGAACTCATTAAGAAATTCAAAAAGCTGTGATATACTTAAAGGATGAATTTGAAATGAAAGACCTTGGAAAAATGAAATATTATCTTGGTTTACAGATTGAGCACCTTTAAAATGGAATACTTGTGTATTAATCAAACTATACTAAAAAGGTATTAAACGCTTTAATATGGATAAAGCAAACCCTTTAAGTACTCAAATGATTGTTAGATCACTTAATGTTGAAAATGATCCATTTCGCCCTTATGAAGATAATGAAGAAGTCCTCGGTCCTGAAGTACCATATTTAAGTGCAATATGAGCTCTTATGTACCTTGCTAATTATACTTGACCAGATATAGCTTTTGCTACTAATCTATTAGCAAGATTTAGCTCATCTCATACACGAAGACATTGGAATGGAACTAAGAATATACTCCGTTATCTTCAAGGAACATTTTATTTGAGATTATTTTATCCTAAAGGATCAAAACAAGGGATGATTGGTTTTACAGATGTAGGATATTTGTCAGATCCACAAAAAGCCATGTCTCAAAATGGATATGTGTTCACATGTGAAGGTACTATTGTTTCATGGTATTCACAAAAGCAAACGCTTGTTACCACTTCTTCAAATCATATCGAAGTTATTACACTCCATGAAGCAAGTTGAGAATGTGTATGGCTGAGGTCTATGACTCAACATATCTAAGAAACTTGCAGACTATCTATCAGTAAAGATCCAACAGTGGTATTTGAAGATAATGCAACATATGTCACTCAAATAAAGAAAGGTTACGTCAAAAGCGACAGAACGAAACACATACTCCCGAAGTTCTTCTCATACTCCCAAGAGCTCGAAAGAAAAAAAATAAGGATATTGATATTCAATACATTCGATCAAGTGACAATGTAACAGATATTTTCACCAAGGCACTTCCCACCACAACATTCAAAAAGTACATCCACAATATCGGGATGCGTCATCTACGAGAGTTATGAGGAAGGCTTATACATGTCAACTTGAAGGGGAGTTTACGTGGCTGTATTCTTTTTCCCTTATTATGGTTTTATCTCACTGGATTTTCTTGATAAGGTTTTTAATGAGGGAGCATAAACACGTATAGATAAATGATGTACTCTTTTTCCCTTTGCTATGGTTTTATCCCACTGGATTTTTTCTACCAAGGTTTTTAATGAGGCATCATGAATGGTGGACATCTAAGCGAGAGTGTTATGAATAGTAGCTGTCCACCTCAGTCAAAGTTACTATGCAAGTCAGCTAAAGTTACTGTTTATGTCAGAATCTTACTGTACAAATAGTACCCATAAATAATAAGTACTATGCAAATAGTAACCGTGAATAGTGTTGAAAATTTTCTTATAAATAGAGCTCTAAGGCTCTTCATTTTGTATACCTTCACATAATTAATGAAACTCTCTCTAGTTTCTCTCTCTAAAGTTTTCTTCTTAGTTTTACATTTTGTTAGTTTCCATAACATGTTATCAGCACGAACGTTTTATTCCTACTGCGATTGTCTATATTCATTAATTCAAAGAAAGGAGGCTATGATCTAATTACAATCATCTACCTTAAAGTCAAAAGAAAGTAGGTTCTAGCTCTAGTCCTACTACAAGTTTCTACCCTTATTAATTTAAGTAAAAGGTATGTAAATATATTATATTATTTTATATTCATATAAAGGAGGGCTATGCCAAATTTTTATAATTTTATCATTATACACCCTTCAAAAGGTTTACCAAGTAATTTGGTGTGTTTGTATTCTCATAAATGGACGGCTATACCGCTTGCAGGTAATAATTTCTCATTTCACTTTCTGCATGCATATTACTATTCTCATATGTTTATTTTTCTGCATCATTTAAAGTATACAATTATAATTTTTCTTCCACTTATAACAGTAATATAATGGATTTTTATACCACTATTAACGGCTATAAACATCTAGTTTTTACTCTATAAAATGTGATTTTTCTTAACCCATAAAGAGCCTTATGTAACTTGCAAGCCATCATTTTTCCATTCTGAATTTTAAAACCCGGAGGCTGACTCATGTATATGTCCTCTTCCAAATTTCCATTTAAGAATGCATTATTCCCATCTAGTTGGTGAATAGGCCAATTCTTTGTTAGAGCCATGGTGAGAACTACTCTAACAGTAACTGGCTTCACTACTGGACTGAAGGTTTCTCCAAAGTTAAATCCGGGAACTTGACTGAAGCCTCTTACAACAAGTGTTGTCTTATATCTTGATACACTTCCATCTGCATTATTGTTGGATGAAGGGACATTAGGACATGTTTCTTGGTTTTGTGTAGGTGTGGTTTGATCATG